TGACTTAAAGGTCGGTGCCTCATATCTATCTACCGTATACCAACACAACGTAACATATTACAGTATCCCCAGGACCACCCTGGCTGGAGATTCATCTAGGTGCCCCAATCATCTGCCAGAGTTTCGCAGGGTTCCGTCGTAAACTGGCAAAGCTAGCGCTTCATGAATCTTATGACCTACCGGTGGGTCGTATTGTTCGAAATGGCAGAACACGTACGACCCACCAGTGGGTCGTATTGTCGTGAATGTGTTAAAAAAGTCATTCATACAGCAAATTATCACTTGCTGTTTTGACAATGACCTTCTAAACAAAATACGGTACCTTTCCGTTATCCGGACCCATTTTTTCAAAGAAAGATATAGCTTTTATCCTTGTACCATACTTTGTCCCACCTTTACAGGAAGGAATGTCAACCCCCTGCCACATGTCAAAAGAAAGTTGGCATGTCATCTACATGCTTAACAGGTTTTACCAAGAGTTTGTGTTATCCTACCTAGCGATGTAAGTTTAATCTGTTTTTTTAGTTAATTTCAAACTCATTTCGATCAAACAACTTCAAAGTGAACATTTTCATAGTAGTAACGATATAGTATCACCGATCAACAAATTAGGTTCTCTCAGGATAGAGAAGTGCGCTAAAATTCTGTCATTTGAGAGGCGGAATAAGCAGCAGCAAGGTTCTTCAAACTGTCATTTATAGTCTTTTCTGCTAAATTCGCTGGAGAAAAGGGTTTGAAGAGAAATACATTTTTGAATCACTGCCGAAAGCAATTGAGATGTTTTACTGTAAGTTCTAGATTGTTTTGCGCGAATGTAAGACAGTTAAACTGCTCAAAATAATTACAAACTCTTTTCATCTCACCGGAAATGATTTCGAAAGAAAGATGTCAAAATAGACCAAAAAGTGTTCGTTTTTTCGTGACACGAGCAAGGAGGCAGTCCTCGTAGAATCTATGAAAAATTCTGGATCAAAGAATGTGTAGTATCAGAGCCTTTTGAAAAAAAGGGTCCGAATACGGAAAAGTACCTAAAATACATATCAAAACTGAAGTTATCATGCTTAGTACTCTATGTAACTTCCATTTTGAAAACCATATAAAAATCAAGCACAGTAACAATAATTTAAGACATCATTATAACAATAAAATATGTCCACAGTATATTAGACAAAGTTAATCTGAATAAAGTAATAATAATACATATGTTCGAAGAATAATCATATCAAATACAAACCATGCCGATTAGTTTACACTTATGATTCTACAATTTCAAGATAATTATTTAATTACAACAACATTCTCAATAAACTTGATAATGAACAAATTTTGAATATTTTCAACAAATAATGTATTTGCAATGTATACAGTACAAGGAAAATGTGGATGAATACCATGAACATAAAATTACAGGAAATCCAAGTCTGATAGATGACAAGGAACTAAGAACCATTATGTTTAAGGAAACAGTATAGGTTAAAAAATTAAATTGATAAGACGGATATTTTAGAATGGATTACAATTACAATGCGAAAAATCAGAGAAACATACGTATATAAACAAATCCAAGCTAAAAATTGACCAGATTGAAGATATAAAATTATTAGGGAAAAAGATTTGATAAGAAACATAAGAAACTGAAACCACATTTATACGAAGTCAAACCAAGAATTGAACAAAAATCTTTTTAATCTTCAAAAATTCTAAGCATAAGTTTGTAATTTGTCCTTTAGACAAAGCAAGCAATAACTTTGGTATTATATGCAGAGAATTCTACATTCAAATCATAATGAAAGGACTTGACATCACAATAGATAAGAACAAAAACATTTTAACCAGTAAAAATGAAACGTATGATTTATGTCACAGTGAAAGTGTGACTGAAATAATCGATAAATATAAAAAATTCTGTAATGCAAACATACTACCATCACAAAATATTAATAATCCACTGATATATTGCTTACAGTAAGTTTCGACCCGCTTTAGGCGGAAATTGGATTGGCGGGAGTCCGCCTCGCAACAGCTCGCCCCGTTTCGCAGCTACAGTATATCCTATCGTGCTGAGAACCCATGTTTACGTCTCTTCAACCTCCTTAGTTTTTGCTTGGCAAAATGCCAGCGCTGTGCGCTCGCGATGCCTCCAGCGATGCGCATGCGCTGCTCCACGTAGAATATCTCGCCTAATCCGGGATGGAACCGACTGTACCTAAACTATTATGTGGGTCCGAAAGTTCGCGCCGTTTTTAGACCTGTTTCAAAATCGTTCAAAATGAAGGTAGACAAATCGCTTAGAAGGTATCCGATGCAAAAATTCTTCCTCTTTCCAGCAGCTGTGTTACCGTTGTGACTGTTTCGACGAGCGCTGAGATAGTTGCCGAAAACTAGATCCATCCATTTTTACCAAGTCAATCTCGCTAATTTTCAGAATTTTCATTTTAGACGCTTAAAGGTGCCCTAATAACCACCTGATAAGTCAAAGCTTTTTCAAATCAATGCAATTTTTTGCATTTTTCATCTTCCTTTTTAGAATTTTGCTGGTATTTTACCAGAGCATATAATATTTTGAAAATCGACACATAATTGCACCAAACACTGCAAAATCCTCAAAATCTTGAAATTTTACAACTCGATTGTTACTATCACTAGTATTACGAAGTAAATGAGCGATTACGACGTGAAAATGGATAGATTTTAGAAATTCAACTGCACCTTTGCGCACCCGTGAGATTGAGAAGTACAGCAATTGTGTCTGCAAAAGTCGCATGTTTCGCGAAGAAAAGGTAGTTTTTAGAAAGAGGTGAAAACAATGCATCGAATATCTAAACTGTTCAACGTCTGATGTTTTGCGAAGTTAGAATGAGCCAATTATAAAATTTGTTCACTTCAGAAAATGTATTTTAGTGATTCTAGAAAACATGCCAGAGAGATTCAAAAAATTGCATCAATTTGGAAAAGGTTCGCCCTATTAGATGGTTATTAGAGCACCTTCAAAAGTTTAAAATAAAAACCCTGAAAATTAGCTAAAGTTAGACATGGTAAAAATGAAGGGATCTAGTTTTCGGCAGCTATCTCAGCGCTCGCTGAAACAGTCACAACGATAACACAGCTGTTGGAAAGAGGAAGAAATGCATCGGATACTGCTGAAACGATTTGTCTATCCTTATTTCAACGATTTTGAAATAGGTCTAATAAACGGCGCGAACTTTCGCACCCACTTAATACATCAAAATTCAATCAAGTTTAGATTTATTACTGGTGCTACACACAGTCATTAAACCGTTAGCAATAAAGTTGAAAGTTATATTCACATTTATAGAATCTCATTTCAAAAAAACTATTCAAATAGTATTAAAATTAAAAATCAATTATGTAGGATGTTGGTCAATAGATAATACCAACATTACAGACAAAATAAAAAATGTTACAGCTAAAACATGAGTATACAGTGACCGCCAAAAAGTTGCGGACAAGCCGCCTTCCTTTTTTCATCGCTCATTTTCGGATAAAAACAAAGATGAAAAAATAATTGAATTGCATGAGCTGGTAGAGCTTTTTAAGAGCTACAACCCACACATTGCGATTTCTGGAAAATGTGTAATATAAAAATTTTAAAAAACTTTTTCTCAAAAAAGTCCGAAAATGGCCGCGTCACAATGTCGCGGACAGTAATTCTTCGAACGCGAAAATTTCCCTTTAGGTCTTTTCTTGAATCAAAAATAGCAGTTTTTAGGACAGGTAAGCATACTATGTTATAGAGCTCATCGAGGGCAATAATCGAGTAGTGGTTATTCCCCGAAAAACCCAAGCTTGGATTTTATTTTACTTTTTTTTCAAAAAATAACTTCTGTTTTCTTCTTTCAAAGCAAATTTCTTCGCATGGAAACCTAATCAAGGCATCCCGACAAAGCTGTTCGGTCAAGGTAGATGCTCTTTACCATTCTCTATGCATCTGACATGTGCTGGTGAGTTTCTTAGCTGGAATGACTCCTGACAATGCGTGCACATGACCCCATCTGCACCTCACCATTGACTTGCACCGCTTTTCAGGCTTAGAGCTCAGCCAGCAGTCATTCTACGAGCCTGCAAGTAGGCTCATTCGAAAGAGCGTGACTTCCTTGACACGATAGTAGCAAGTGAGCTGAGTCTGAGAAATATCAGAGATCTGACGGATGGGGTGAAAAAGCGCAGCCTTAAAGGCGATTGGAGTGAAAGCTCTTGTCAACTTCGGAACAGTCTTAGAGCCTCGAGATGGATCTAGTACAAAAAAATTGACAGTTTAAAACTTCTAGGATGGGACTGGTAGCGAAAGGAGTTCTGTTCAACTCTTAATTGAAAAATCCTTAGCCTACCACTAAAGCTGCGCTTTTTCACCTCATCCGTCAAATCTCCGATATTTCTCAGACTCAGCTCACTTGCTACTATCGTGTAAAGAAAGTCACGCTCTTTCCAATAAGCCTACCCGCAGGCTTGTAGAGTGACTGCTGGCCGAGCTACAAGCCTGTAAAGCGGTGCAAGTCAGTGGTGAGGTGCAGATGAGGTCATGTGCGCGCATCACCGACGGCGACTTTCACTAAGGAAAGTCGTCAGCACACGTTAATGAGTTCAATGATTGAGAAATTTTCGCTTTACAAGCAGCATTGTAAAAAGACTCAAGAGTGGATCTTATTCCACTTCCTAGGTCCAAAACTTGAATTTAATGACACATCCAGATACTACTTATAGCAGCCAAGAGACCCTCCCAAAATCTTTCCGATCTAAAAATGGACAAACTTAACACACATCTTGCTAACTGACACACGAAGACAAACAGGCTTGATTTCACAACGAACGGGCACAAAATCAAGTCTTTTGTTAGAACAGAAAAGATCAATCAGCACCTAATGAGATTCGACTTCATGAGAACGTAACGAATGAGAACAATATTGCATTCAATACTTCGTCGCATAACCTCCGGCGTCTATCACGGCTTTACAACGACTAGGCATGGATTCGACCAGTCCCTATAGGCGCTGCACTGGAATTGATTCCCAGGCGCTTCGTACCTCAGCGAAAAGTTCTTCAGGCTTCGTAAAGCTTCTTCTTCCCTGTCTCCTTTCGACTTCTGCCCACAGGTTTTCTATAGGGTTCAGGTCCGGACTTTGTGCTGGCCACGGGAGAGTGATAATACCATTTTCTTGAAACCATTCACTCACAACTCTCGACTTGTGTTTGGGATCATTATCTTGTTGAAAGGTCTGTAACAGTGTAAAATTAGTACTAAGAAAACTATTCATTGAAAATCCATACCCAATCAACATCGGGAAGCTCAGCTTCAAGAGTTTGCAGATGTGGATTCATGACTTCTTCGAGTATTCTTTTGTATCCGAATCGATCCATAGTCCCACGAATGAGGTGCAGGGGGCCTAATCCGTAATAACTAAAACAGCCCCAGACCATAATGTTTCCGCCTCCGCATTTCACGCTGGACTTGGCGTACTTTGGCTTGTATCGCTCCCTGACTGGTCTCCGTACCCACTGACGCCCGTCGCTTCCCGCCATGTTAAACTTGCTTTCATCAGACCATAGCATTCTTCTCCACTGATTCTGCCAATCGACGTACTGCCTTGCGAATTGAATCCTTTTTCGAACATTTTTAGATGAGATAAACGGCTTTGTCGCAGGACGCCTTCCGTGTAATCCGAACTGGGTTGCAAACAGTAACAACATGAGATAGTGTAAATCTATGCCTACCTGTTGCAGTCGACGCTGTACTCTGCGGATGCTCAAATGGCTCAGCCTCAGGTTGTCACGAATTTCGGCTGCGCTACTGAAGAGATCATTCGTGCACTCCCGCAAAATCATTCTATCGGTCCTGAAAACCCAATCAATAAGGCAATTTTCCATGCCTGACAATGAGTACCCACCTCTCATCTGTGGAGCGTATGCGGCCCAAGGGTGCTGGCTCAGCTGGGTTTCTTGTACTCTTGTAAATGCCCCATACCCCGCTTTTTGATATCTCTAAGTGGGCAGCAATTCATCTGAATGCCCATCCATCCTCGTCATGGAGACGCAAAATCAAGTTCTTCAGTAACTCGGCACGATGCTCCGTACTCATCTGCAGTAGTGATTAATACAGTTCCAATTCTTCATGCTCTTCAAATATCTAAACTCACTAATTCTCTCAACCTCTGTTGCACCGTTTGCACCGGCGCATGCGCAAGCTCAAGCTGCGAGCGCAGTTCGGCGGCATTGGTGATCTCGTCCCTGGCAATGGCATTGCAAGCAGTATCGAGGACAGCTCCAAAATTTGATTTCAAGACCAGAGTGTTGATGCGAACCTTGGATCGAGCTTTCGTGGCCTCCCTCGACGCAGCGGTTCTGGTGGGTTCTTAGCTCGTTTGTAGATGTTCCACACTTCGTTTTTCGACATTCCCACTTTTTCCGCAATTTCTCCGAAGCTGCGCGATTCACGATCACGCAAACAAACAATTAACGCAACCTTGCTTCGTCCAACAAGGGCCATGGTAGTAGACACGAAACACTGAAATCGTCAAGTATCGAAACGAAGAACAGTTCAAGCCGCAATGAAACAAATGACGTTGGCTCCCCAGAAATGATGAAGAATGAGTTAACTACACAAACAGAATTTTGGGAAAAAACTACCATCATATAAAATAAAGCATGAAAAGAAAAGCTTGGTAAAATGTCATACACTGAAACATCAATTTGCAAGCATAAAACGACTTCACAAAGTGTGAAAGGAAATGAATGACAGCAAGAAAAGGTACAAAACTCACCTTAGACAAGAAGATGCAACGCGCGCGAACACGGCTCAGTTACGCTTACGTTTGACTAAGGCCCGTATGCACGTACGTCCTCGCTGGGGAGGGGAGGGGAGCTGGATCCCCAGGCGGACGATCCCCTCCGCCGAACCCCGCCATGACAGAGGGGAGGGGAGCGATCTCCTCCCCTGCACCTAAGGCCTAAGGCATACCTCACGCGATTCGGCCGAATCGCCACCTTCACGCGACTTGGCGTTTTGCCAGATTTCTACAAATTTATCGTGCGCGCTTCTCGGACGCATATTTGGGTACCTTGTGTAAGTTGTTGCAAACTGAGCAAGTTCTGACCAGAGACAACGCATTAACGACGAGTAACGAAGAGTCGCTGCCGTGCCGAATCGCGTAGCGACCGGAATCGCGCGAGGTATGCCTTAGGCCTAAGCGGGGCCCAGTGCATACGGGGTTCGAATGGGGGAGGGGATCCCTTCCCGTCCCCCACTCGAACCCCGTATGCGCGAATTCAACTCAATAACGCGGGGGAGGGGATCGACATCCCCTACAACGGAGTAGGGGTTCGATGGTGTAGGTCAAGCCAAAGAAGCGAGTAATCTGATTTCAATCAATTATTACAAAGCATTTCGTTCAAATTGATGAAAGATTTTCTACGGGAGCCGGGTTCCTCTCTCACCGACCTGTAGCTTGCAGTTTCAACTCTCTCTTCCATATTCGCTTCTCGTAAAGAAATCCGGACATATATCTGCCAGTTTCGAATATCTGTAGAAGGTTGTGACCATTCATGAGAGTTGCGCGTTTTTTATTTGATATGATAGTTTTATCCATTAAGCTGATACAACATATTGTAACTATCACATTATATGAGAAATTGTTTTTATCTTGTTATCCTAACGTAAAACTGCTTTGAATAAAATGAAAATTAGCTAAAATCAATAAGCTCAATTAGACTCGCGTGTTTCTGAGTAAAGATCCCCGGAGGGAATGATCCCCTCCCCATCGCTCCCCTCGTGCATAGCAGGGATGGCCGCTGGAGATCATTCCCCTGGGGTAAAGGACGATATGCAGCTGATAGCTACAGCATTTATGGAGAGCTGGCACGATTTGCAGCTTCAATTATGTGTAGAAATGCTGGTTTGAATGTCCGCGGCCCCCCCTTTTTTTTTGGCAGCATAACGTCTTCTACCCATTCACTGCATATACATACACCTTGACTTCTATCATTGAACACCTTCAAGCTAAAATGGGCAGCATGGGCGAAAATGAGCAGCATCCATGAAAACAGCCGGAATATAATGGATGTAGGAGATATTTCTTTAGTGTGCCGATCGCAATCACGGCAGACGGCGTTTTGCAACGACTAAATATCGCCGAGACACATTGAAGGAGAGTAGCTATCAAAAGATAAGAAAAAAGGAATAATTACTGCAAAAAGGTGGAAGCAAAATGAGTTCCCCGCTCGATCTCCCCTTCTGCATAAGGAGGCTCCCCTCCCCTACTCTCAGGGGATCCCCTCTCCGGTATTGCCTTTCTGCATAAGGGGATTCGCGTGGGGAAGGGAGGGGAGCCCCAGCGGGAATCATTGCAATGGTTAAACTCACATACCCTCCCCGCGGGGATGTACGTGCATACGGGCCTAAAATAGAGATACTCATGTTATTTTACAAAGGTAGGTAGAAAAAAAATAAGAGGAGAAAGATGCTGAAAGATGGGGAATCTGTGACAACCAAAACAAAAAAAGGAGTTAAAAGAGAAGCTGCAGAGTCAGAAGTAAGCGAATTTAGACGATTTCGCAACAAGTAATATTTTCTGATTTTCAATGCTGAGACCATGCGCGCTCATTGTTGTGAAAAAACAACTTTTGTCCCCTAGATCTACAATATGAGAAGTTCAGCGAGAAGAAGAAGATGGATTACATCAATAAAACACCTTACCTTAGACAATAAGTGTAAATGGAGCGCCCGCGAACGCTAACGGCTCACTACGCGTACGATTGATTGAAACAGAAAACTTATTTCTTAGCAAAGATATTGTAGAAAACGTTACGAGAGAAAACTGCTGGAAGAGGGAGGATATGGAGCAACCAAAACAAAAAAGGAGTTAAAAAAGATGCTGCAGAGTCAAAAATAAGCGAGTTTAGACGATTTCGCAACAAGTAGTATTTGCTGATTTTGAGTGCTGAGATTATACGCGCGCACTGTTGCGAAAAAAACAACGTCTATCCTCTATATCTACAATATGAGAAGTTAGCAAGGTGTACAAAGACACGTTTGTATTTGCAAAATTGAAACCACTTAGCGAGAAGAAGGAGATGAATAACACCAATAAAACAACTCACCTTACACAAGAAATGTGGACTGAGCGAGCGCCAATGCTGATGTCCCGATTACGAGTACGTTTGGCTGAAACAGAAAACTTAATCCTTTGCAAAGATATTGTAGAAAACGATACGAGAGAACAGTGCTGAAGAGGAAGGATATGCATCAAAACAGAAAAGGAGTTAAAGAGAAGATGCGGTGTGAAAAACAAGTGCTTATCAACAATTTCGCAACAAGTGTTATTTTCTGAATGCGAGTACCGAGACCACACGCGCGAATTGTTGCGAAATAACTTCGAGGTTTCTTTACCTACAAAAGCTGAAGTTAGCAAGGTGTGGAAGAAGTTTGAAGATGCTGGGAAAGCCTCTTAGCTGCTACAAATAGTGATTGGAAATGTCATGAATGTTTTGACTCTAGGAAATAGAATAAAATCCATTTTTGAGTTTTCTAACAATGCTGCTTGTAAGGCGGAAATTTCCCAATCACTGAACTCAATGACGTGGCTGAGGACTTTCCTTAGTAAAAGTCGCCGTCGGTGATGCGCGCACATGACCTCATCTGCACCTCACCACTGGCTTACTCACTTTGCAATCTTGTAGCTCGGCTGCCAGTCACCGCATAAGCGTGCAAATAGGCTCATTGGAAAGAGCTAGACCTCCTCAATTCGATGATATGCAACAGAGGTAACTTTAGAAAGTTTCTGAAAATTGGAGGATGGGTTCAAATTGGTGCAGCCTCAATGGTAGTCTTAGGGTTTTTCAAATAAGACTAAGGTGAGCTTCATTTGTTACAACTTTCATCCTGGGAATTTGCAATTGACTATTTACTTGTAATAATTCGATTGCGATGTTTTACGACAAGTCTAGTGTCGAAAAGAGCCTAAACCAATGTTACTTCAATCACCGCTGAGGCTGCCTTTTTTCAACCCCATTCTCAAAATCCCCAGAATTTCTTAAAGCTGCCTCTATTGCACATAAGCGTGTAAAGCAGGTCTCGCTCTTTCTTGCGAGCTTATCCTCATGCTCACAGAATGACTGCTAGCCGAGCTACGAGCCTGCAAAGAGGTACAGGTCAGTGGTGAAACACGGGTGAGGTCGTGTGCACGCACTACGAAGAGCCATTTTCGGCAAATGAACTCATCAGCACACATCTATGCATACAGAAGGGACAAAAGCAGCAATTTCATCAATAAAGCCTGTTATTAAAATATGCTGGATCGCCTTTTTTGTGAAGAAACGCGCTTTGATAGTGCGTATGAAAAGTTTTTTTTCCAAAAAATGCGAGAAAAATCCAAGCTAGTGTTTTTCTAAAAGTAGCCATGACCTGACCATAGTACTTCATGTGCTCTACAGAATAGTACGCTTAGTTGTTTGAAAAACTTGTGATTTCGCTTCAAAAAAGGACTCAAAAGAAATAGATTACATGTTCTCTTCTGTTTGAACCTCGGCATTGATTTGATGAAGTGTTAGTTAATACATATGCCAACACGAGGTTTTTTGGTGGAGCTTTATTAGTAGAGTGGCCTTACGTTTCGACACCAATGGTCGTCTTCAGAGGCCTAAAGTGGAGCGAGATTGATGATCATATGCCTATACCACAAAACGCCTTGTCGACCCCGGCTAGTATTCGATCCCCTCTATGGTTTCACAAGCAAAGACCCCAAAATGGAAAGAAGAGCTGACCGTGGCTCCACCGCTGTCGCACTGATGGTGGTGTGCGACCGCCTTCTCTGTGTAAGTAGTGCAAATTATCCATACAAGGTATCAAGTAAATGCACTACTTCTCTATAGCTCACATAACGGAATGAACGGCAGGAAATCATTCGTAATTGCCAAGCATTCATTCCTGTTGTCATGGCTGGGTTCCTGCTTGAGATCCACAAGGCTTCGAGAGCTTTCCGCGCAGCTATGTCAGCCTCGTAAACCAAAATCGAGCATTTAACTTGATAGTCGTGGTCACCATACTCGTCGTGCTTATGCCTTCCGAGAGATGAGGTCAGACTACCTTTCCTTTATTGGCTAGAAGTTCTTTCATTCTCACACCAAGTGCAAGTCCGGTTTCTCCAATGTACGTAGCGCCACATGTTAAACAATCTATCTGATATATTACCCCGGTTTTGGCGCAATCACCGACATTGTTATATGGGCAAATCACACATTCTTTCGAAATGCAGTAATTGTAGTATAGCCTATTTCGCACAAGCCGTTTCTTGATGTTATCGCTTGGAATGTTCACGAGTATGATATCATCGCGCAGCTCTGCTCGCTCGATGCTTTTCTGTACAGCACACTGACTTCGTCTGAGATGAAAGGTAGACAAAGTGCTATCCTGTTATTGTGCTGATCACTGCTTTTCGATTTTTGTAATCTACCGTGCTTATAGTGGTGCACTTGGTAGCCATTACTCCGAGC